AAAAAAAAAAAAGTATATAAATAATTTTTCTAAATAAAATTTGATGGGAGTAAAATAAGACGACACTTGGTGGTTCCAGCTTCTTTTCTGACCTTAAATGTTTGGCTAGCATGAAGCTTGGTTTATGCTTGATGCTGGAAGTCATGCGGGTGCTGGCGGCCAGCTGGGTGTCGGCTACTGATTCCATGCAGTTAGACTTTCTGCACAGATCACTTTGCAGCTACGCAGACAAAACTGTGCAGGAAACATGGCGAGCGAAAAGCAGCTCCTGCTTCCAAGGGTTTGCAAATAGAAACATCTAGAAGCATTCCGTAACTTAGCCCAGAAATATCAGCACTATCAACACATTGTGGGAAAATTCTAGGAAAGAAATGACCATCACTCTAAGACGCCATGAAGAGGCGTCAGTTATAAGCGGCTGTGGTGGTGTCAGCTTGCTCTTTGAGCTGGAGGTCAAATGTCAAACCCATCATTTCCCTATAATGGTTCCCAACTTTGGACTGGTGGTTGTCCAGTTGGAGGTCGGCGGCCTACCAGGGGAGGGGATCTCCAGGTCGGTGGTCTGTTGGACATTAGTTCTTCCTGGACGGGGGTCGAAGGCTGGGACCAAGGCAGAAAACTGCCTCTTGAGGACAAAGTCATCGTCCCACGTCCTCCTGCGTCCTCCTTTGGTCTCGTACTCTTCCTCCTCCTAAAAACACAGAAAAGATGAAGATCGGGACCAAACCGACCAAAGCTAAACACGTGTGCGTGGCAAACATACCAGGACCTCCTCGTACTCCTGATCCTCCTGATTGTCGTCTTCATTTTCGTCGTCATCGTCGTCGGGCTCAGGCAGGTCTTCTTCGTCGTCCAGCTCAGCCAGCAGCGTGTTAGCTCGGCAGCTGTCCAGGAAATCTGCAGAAACACATGAGGTGACTGCAGAAGGCAGACAAAGGAAAGAGGACAGCCCGACCCAGGTCACCCTCCGTTTGTTCTGCTCGTAACGACTAGAGAGACGCAGGCCTGAAATAGCCGAGGGCATCCATCTTGCCTTCATTCCATGTGGCCGACACAGACAGAAACCAAGTGTTTGGGACATTAAAGTCCATAAAAGCAGCGGTTCTCACTGCAACTCTGACATATAAAATGCAGGATCAAGATGCAGTGAAGTTAATATTTAAATAAACTCAGCCGTTCATCCTAGCTGTGAATAGAGGAGATCACAGAGTGAAGACTGCTTTGATCGTTTCACCAATTTAAAAACCTAAAATGAATCTCAGCTGCTGATCCCAGAGATCCTTGGAGCGAGCCCAGAGCCGCGGGGCGAGGCCAGCGCCGCGGGGCGAGGCCAGAGCCGTGGAGCGAGCCCAGAGCCGCGGGGCGAGGCCAGAGCCGCGGGGCGAGGCCAGCGCCGCGGAGCGAGGCCAGCGCCGGGGACCATCATGTGAACACAAGGTAAAGATGTGAGATGATAGTTTCCATCTCTAGTCCGTTTGGAGGCAGAACAGCTATAGATTTTAATCATCTCCACGCCGCTGCTTTTTCCATGAACAGCACTTCAAACTGGGATGCAAATGAAATATAATTCAGAAATAAACTTTCCAAACATGTCTGTGAGAGGTAAAACACTGAATGTCTGCATATCTGATAAATGTCATTTAAAACCTAATACTGGGGGCATCTAAAGAAGTTTAGCTAGGCTGCTCTGAGATAAGCCTCAAAGTGAGGTTTTGAATGAATCTGCGACATGGCACAAGCTCCTTATAGGATAGGTGACGCAATCATCTCCTCCAGCAGCCAATCAGGATTGGCCCAATGAGATAAATGCTTCTATGGAATAAGGCAAGGGATGTATCCCATTGTGAGACATCAAAACGAATGCTATGAATGAGAACCTAATATTGGGGGTATGACCCGTACACCGGCTGCTGCAGGTTTGAATCCCGGTCCTGCTGACCTTTGCTGAATGTCTTTCCCATCTCTCTAACCCACTTTCCTGTCTCCATACTTTCAAAAATGACAAAATAAAGGCCACTAGAGCCTAAAAATAATCTTAAAAATAAAACCATATATCCAAGAAATGATTGGCCATTTAATCCAAGACTTTCTACTCTAAACATCCGGTCAAACCAACGTGATTCCTGCTGATAAATCCTCTGATGGACATCAACACTTTGCTGCTTCTTGTAAAGCTTCATGTATTTGCAGTGGAAGTGAATCATTTCCATTCATAATCCCATTTCAAATCAAACTGCAGCATAAAGAAGTTTTGCTTCCTGCTGAGTAAATTTGCAAATACAGGAAAATATTGCTTTAGAACTCCACTCCAACCGCAATAAAATGAAGGTTAACAGCTGAATTAACACAATCATTCCTATAACAAGAGTTTGATTCAAACTAGAACCAAAGGATGGATGCAGGTTACTGAGTGAAGTTAGACGGCCGAGCAGCTGAAGCAGGTCACATGAGCCTCTAGAGTGTGTGTTTTTTCATTTTTTTGTTGTTGTTGTTGGGTTGTACTAACCATAGAGTGAGAACTCTGCTTCCTGTCCCGTGTCACTTTCACTGGATGTGGACGTCAGGCTCGTGGTCAGAGTGTTACTGAGCAACTGTCCCACTGACAGACCCGTTGTTGCTGTGGCTACGTTATTGCCGCTGGTTACTATGGATGTTGACATGGTAACTGTGGAGGTGGTGCCAGTGGTGGTGAGATTAGGAAAGCTCTGAGCGCCCATGAGAGGAGAAGCTGCAAACAAACAAAAAACAAGTTGCAGTTAGTCTGAAACCAACGAATAAAAGCAGTAAAACAGTTTGTTATGCTGGAGTCAGCTGACGGGACACAGGGTTTAATATGATGAGATTCTGCACTGTGGGATCAGAGTTACCAACCTACAAAATAAAAAATAAAAAATAAACAGAGTAAGTTTTCTTGACAAGTTGATCTTAGAAATATTTCCAAGTGAATTCCTCAGTGAAGAAGAGCCAGTCCAGAAGACTAACCCAACTGTTTAGGACGTTGGCAGCCATGTTCAGGTCTGCACAGTAAGTGGAGGAACTGAGACTCATCAAAAATGACACGTCCTCACTGCCATGGATCCTTTAGCTTTACTGTCTACAGCAGGGAGTCTGCTCTCACTGTTTGTGAACACAGCACTGTTTTTGGTAATATCAACACTGCCCAGAACGACATTTTAATATTTGTGATCTAATGTGGAGCTCTAATCCTGATATCATATCCCACGGAGTAAGGATAAAGCAAATTGCTACATTTTCTTTAAAGGTATAGAGGACAAATTTAGCAAAAATGTTACTTTTACAATAACTGCTTTTCTTCTTGCCAAATGTGCCCCCGTTTGATTCGCCACTAAAACCTAACTGGATACATAAAGACTAGATGTAACAGGGAACGAGTGCGAGAAGAGCATAAGGCGAGCGCAGTCCGAGAGAAAAGGACGAGTGGGAGAAGGTCGGCCTCCATACCTTAAGTTCTCCCCTACAAGCAGGAAACAATGCATCTTTTTCTGAACGGTGAAAAACGGGTCATACAGAATCACAGCTGGAATTAATATGAGAATAAAGTCGCAACATTAGGAGAGCGGAGTCGCAACATTAGGAGAGCGGAGTCGCAACA